AGCCACAGTATTACAGTATAATCATGCCAAATAATTAAATTGGACACTCATACACAGTAGCAATGTTGTGGATTCAGAGCGACTGTCCGGCGGCTGCGCCGTCCGTGGGTGTCTCGACGCGGAGTGGGCCGGCTCGTAGGTATGGCGGCCTACTTCAACATCCCACGGACTCTTAACTAGGTGTCCCTAAGAACGCCTAATAAGCACCAATCTACCCCTAATTCCGTACTATAAACCCTCGACTGCCCTGAGAGTACCAGTTATCCCAACCGGCGGAACTCCCGAAACGGTAAAGTAGTTTATTCATGTATAGGTATGCATGTACTCACTGTTGTGTGTGTCCACTGCCGCTGCAGTTCGCCACTCGCTTCGCTATGCCAGGCGCCATCCCGCTAGCCGCCTCGGTCCGTCCGTCTGCCGCGTGCCAACTTTCAAAATGGGGAATATGATAATCACACCCGGTAAAGTCCGATAGACTCCGCCGCATAAGTGCGATTTTAGCGTGATTGTGGCTATTTTTGTAATTTCGCATGTAGGTAAAAAGCCAGTGCGATTCGATTTGATGAGTGGATAATGCATGCGATAGGGCCGCGATAATGTAGTCGAGACGACAGGTCTATGCAGTAGGGGCGGAAAGCGTGACGGAGTGACGCACAGACAGGATTATCAGTTAGAGGACGGAGAATACAGATCTACCTCCCGATAAGCGCGCCAAGCACATCTAATATCTCTTGAATAATGATAGGTGATAAATGCACCCAAAACGTACAAACACTAGATTAAGTTATATGGTTGTGCAAGAGACTGTTGCAGGCAAATCAAAACCAATCCTCTTTGGATGTTAACTCAGTACCTAAGCACCTTTGTGAGTTGATGTGGAGTGCAATGCAAGGCGCAAGGAGGCGCGCTTATGGGGAGGTGGATCTGAACTTTAGTAGGGGGTACAGTACTGTAAACATGGGGCTTTCCAAAGGGTTAGCCCGTATGACTGTGCATTGAAAACTAGAGAGGGGTGCTAACGGAATGCGCTGTGAGCGTTGATTCAAATCGCTTAGAAAAAAAACAATGACAGGAAGGTTCATATGACTGGCTGGTTGATGATTCAACAGCCTACCTAGTCTGAAGTAAGTCAATAGTGTTATGAGCGAGGCCAGCGGCACCGTATCAGTTGTGGTGACCTATGTTGCCTAACAACCGCATGCACACATGTCCTGTGGTCCTCACACACGTTAACCAAACCGAAAACCGAACGTAAAGTGTGATCTATCGCCTTCATCATCAGCCATTTCATCGTTAGAAGAGGGGGCACTCTTGAAGATTTTAATCCCCCCAGCGCGAGACGCTGTATTAGAAACGATTAGACAAAAAGCTTAAGTTGTATTATACATATTAAGGATTTTTCCACCTATTTTTTGTATAAAGACATACAAACTTGAAGTCAATCGAGGGTTGGTTTGTGTCCCATCCTTTCCCGATCAGTCTGCAGAGCCGTGTGTAGTATTTGATCTTCGTATTTCCTAAAAATAAGGTGCTAGAGGTGTTCGCCAAATCCGTATTTGGGATTACAGGCGTTTTCGTACGCCACTCGTTTCGAGATCACCGTAGAAAATTCGCCGCCACCGCACAGACCCCATCCGGCCATCTTCCCCGTGTCCATACCAGCTTTCAAGGCCAAATGGGCACCCAGGAACCCCGCGGAAGTCGCCTTCGTCTCAAGCAACTGAAGCACACGAGGCACAACGCGAGCGTGTGGGTGCCATTGCTGGATCCTAAGGAAGTCTGTAAGGTGCGTTGTTGATGTACTGTTAACGTTTGTTCAGGTTTCTAGAGATGTACAAACTAACTTGTATGGTTTGATAGCAGCGAAGATGAGGAAGGGACCGTATGCGGGCCGACGAAAGTACCACAGATGTGGATTTGATACAAGGTGACATTCGTGTAGCTTGTATTGTACCTGGTATAATTCTAACGTTATCGTGTATGTACCGAATGGTGTATTTCCGAGTGTAGCGGGGAAATTATGTTTTCCGATGGAAGGATAAAGCCACGTGGAAGAAGGACGAGGTGACAGTGGACGGCGAGCCGCACGCGGACACCAAGGCGCACGTGGATACCAAGATGCACACGCACACCAAGCCGCGCGCGGTCACCAGTAGGTTTAGTATGCCATTCAAGCGGGCGGTTTTCTTGGACCGAGCAACCGGTACATGCTTTGTCCCCAGCCGAACGTGGCAGTAGTGTAGTTTGAGCAGTTGGTTCTGGGCCAGTCAAGAGTTTGCACCGTCGGGCGCAGGGCCCCAGCAGCCCCGACACGCCACCACGGCACGCTTGACCGCACGCCCGGCGGCACGCACCCGACTCTTCGACACAGCGGGCGGCCCCGCTCACTATTCCTACCTCCTATACTGGGGGCAGCTCGCGTCTCCACCCGCGGTACGTACAGCAACGCATTGACCCAACCTTCTCGGCTGTCGGCCTGCTGCTCGGTGGCACCGTCGTTCCCAGCAACCCACCATCGGACAACAACACACCCACGCTGCTGAGTTGCTCCACGGTTACGCCCGCAAGGACCCAGCTTCCTACCACGCTCGGCAACAACCAACACCGGCTACTCGTCCACGCTCGGGGCCAAGTAGCGCAAGATCATCAGTTCGAGCATGGGGGCGTCAACTGCTAGCTGTACCCGCAATGGGCACGTTATCCATGCACTACATGCTCTCTCTCTTGTTCTCACTGCTATCTCATGCTACTAACGTTATGCGTGTGCTCGGACAGTTGGGCCAGCAGCTCGTTCCCGATCACGTCGGGGAATTATTCGGGGGCAGCCCCAACTCACACTCACTCCGTGAGCGTGATGGGGCTCGCCTTCAATAATCCAGAACGACTGCTGACCCCCCAACGTGCTTTAGTATGCTCAAAGGAAAGCTTAGATTATCCAGGTCCAGCGTGCTTCGCGATTGATGCCCCGGTGCTTCGTCCAGAGCAAATGGACGGTTGTGTAGATTGACCAAGCCCTGGAATCGAGTATCGCCGTCGAAGCCAGGCCATCGGGTACAACTTGCTACGATGCAGAAGCGCTTTCAGATATTCTGACGTTGTATATATATATATATATGTGTTGCGGAATCGTTTAGGTTCTGATCATGAAGGAGCCTCAAGACAGACCCGCAAAGACGCGAATAGCTCGGAAACGGAGCGACAGGGTTCGTTTAACGTGTACATACACGATACGGATGTGCTTTACTAACTACTATCATGTATGGTACAGGGGTGTCCACTTTTCTGTTTGCTGGTGGACTCATCTCGTTCTAAAATGAATGTGGGGTAAGTCTCGCCTCCTACATGGATCACCAAGTAGCATGTCAGAAGCTACTCAAGTCAAGGGACGACTCCCAAGGTTCACGAAGCGGCATCCTCACGGTGACAGCGACAGAAGCACCACGAATTCATATGCGGTTAGATAAAACCTTGCTGACAATATATAAGTGGCATTTCCAGATGAAAATATGATGTTGTTTTAAAGGGTATATTTGTCGCTATTATGAGCGGTGTGTTACCACGGGCTGAGCATGGAAGCTTCCTTCATGCACATGCGGCGTTGAAGGCTCCCATCTACCCTAGTCGTACATTGATAATCGACAATGCTGCTTTCAATAGTACGTGGAAGCGTTCAAACTCCGTTTGTCTCACTATCGCTAAGTTCTGTTATCGTGTCTCATACAATATTCTATAGATTCAATCGTGTATAATACACGATATAGTCGTTTAATCAAAAACATATATGGAAGCGATCAGCGCTAAGTCCTTCGCGCATTTGATGCCAGTAGTAATGGATTACGGTCGCGAGTGACAACACCCTTGAGCAAGTACGATAGGCGCTTAGGGATGTAGTTACAACAAGAGAGCCTTTGGTTGGTGATGTATGTACGCTAAGCTTCAAGCGATGTAGTCATCCTTTGTAACGAGGAAGCAGCATCGATGAGATTCAACGACGGGAGGAAGGCACCGTGACCCTAGCGGAATAACTTAGGCGAAGACTCGCAAACGAATCAGTGCAGGCGGTGACTGGCAGCTACCGCGGTTTGGACCCTAACGTATTCAACGGATGTGGAAGCGTCGCGTAGCAACGAGGAAACGTTAGCAGCACCAAGGAAAAAGTGAATAACACCAAACAGATAGAACCGGTACAGCCCAGAGGACGATGGACGGTCCGGAAAGGGACGATGGACGGTCCATTCTGAAGGCTCGTCTGGTACAACACGCTGCTAATTTCTTATAAACGGGTGGTGGCCAGTCCCAAATCAAGGTGCACGGCTCAATCTCCGCGTGTATCACTACGAGGAAGCTCGCGGCGTATTTCAGCAAATGCAAAGAGCTAGATCACTTTTTCCTCGCATGGACTACCAGGCCAGGAGTATTTTCGAGCCTCAGGCACTACTTTAGGGAGCTGAAGAGATGTGTGGCCGGCGCAGAAGTCATTTACTCGTATGGACCTTACAGACTAGTATGCTACAAAGCGGCTGCCAATACGCTCGCGCGTCTGGGAGGCGTGTGGCGAGCACAGGACTCGTTTACTCGCATGGGGCATATAGGTTATCTCAATACAAAGCGATTCACACGCGCATCCTGGAGGGATAGGATGAGCCATTTGCTCGCATGGAACATGTAGATAAGGATATCGCGAGCCAAATGATACCCCACTCGCGCGTCTTGGAGGCGAACGACATGCGCAGGAGTAGTTTAACACATGGTCTACCAACAACTGCGGTCAGTGGGCTAGTGGACCTGTAGCCGTATCCATACTAGCCAAGCAGAGGTCGTTAACTTGACCTCGGTGCCGACGCCCAGCACCGTAGTACTTTCTCAGAAACAGGTAGCCCTAGATTGCAAATTAAGGTGGGTACATGCTAGGGGCGATTTCTCTGTCAGAACACACACACGAGCCAACACCAACCACGCTGTTCATGAAGGCCCCCTCGTCGGCACCCGCGCCCTTCATTCTCCCCTACGAGGAACTCCACGCTGGAGATACTATCGAGTACTTCTCCAGGGCCTTTGTGTGCGGCGATGTGAGAGGCCATCGCGTCGCAGTGGTCCATCGTATCGACACAACGGATGATGAATTTCCTCCGCGCGTAGACACCGCCGAGCCGCTGCCTCTTACCAATAAGATGTAGCTGATGAAAGACCGCTTCGGTAACGCATTCCCGCCTGATAGTGTCAAATGGCGCACGCTATGTAGGTATCGCTTGGTCGACGGAGAGGTTAATGCACCCACTCGCTCCAGTCTAGTTGCGGCTGGTCTTCGTACCGTGATAGAAGACTCTTTCCGAACAGTGGTGGCGTCCACGCGGGAGGCGCATGTAGACAGCCGCCGTGAGCAGTATACCAGAGCAGAAGCTGACCATGCAGAGGCTGCAGGTGAACTCGAAACAAGCAGCATCGTTGTAGCCTGCGCTACGAACACGGGCAATTATTTGTTAATTCGTTGCCGACGTGTAGTGCTGATTTTGCTGATTTCCTGCAAACGAGTTCTAACCTTGCATGTTTGGTTATCGCGTATATGCATTCAGATGCCTCAGTCTCCACTGCAGTCACCGGGGTTGGTGCTGATGCTCAAGAGAGTGAAACTTGCGTTAACACGCCCTGCACCTTCACCATCGACTTGACTTGCGATTCGTCGGGTGATTCGGAGGGGGGGGGCAAGCTCGTCCATGCGAGGAACTGTGTGATTCTCGCGATCCTGGTGCTGTAGGAGCCGTTCAGCTCGCGGTCAATGCAAACGATCCGGGCAGTGATGATGACAGCATGGATGAGGCATCACTTCTCGCCGAATGCGATGAAGTCCCTACGGCGGCGGAGCATGACGAAATCCGTCACGCGAGAAAACAACGCCGCAACCCTTGGCCGACGAAAAGGTTTCGCCTAGCGCGGTACATGGCAAAGAGGTGGCCTGTGAAAAGTGCACACACTGATGGCGAAGATACTTCAGCGGTTGTTGGAGAAGCCAAAGATGAATAAGCTTCTCGCCGAGCTTAAACAACATCATCCGGTTTACCAAGCAGCGCGTCCTGCAGAGCCTATTCTACCGGAGACGGCTACTGTCAAGTGGCCAGCTAATGTGGAGTACACTGACGAGTGTATCAACGAAGAGGGCATCACCTTCGAGGACGTGGGCAAACTAGGAAGCTGCCAATGAGTTGGGGATTGTTTCCGCGACGAAGGTTACAACGCTATTGGTTCCGTGTACTGCACACCTACAAACTGCAACCTAAATGGAATCTGCAGCAATTTCCTGCGTGAAGCTCCGTCGCAAGAATACATTGAGTGCATTTACCCATATGCGTTGACCTAATGTAATTCATTCACTTGCTGATACGTATGACACCGAGGTCTTCAGCGCGTGATACGCAAAACAGGGCCATGATCCGCGCGTGGAGCGCGATCCGAACGACGATGACTACCTACTACGGCAGTCTCGACCCCCACAAAGTGACACGAAGGACGCAGAACTGAAACGCTCGCATGGGTTGGCAGGAGTATAGTGCTGGGGATAAGATGTGTGTAGCCTCGCGTTTATATGAGCTGCACAAGAGACACAGGACGCATTTGTGCGCACGTGACGTATACTCTATCCTATCCTGGAGCTATTCCAACTCGTGTGTAGGCTAGAAGCGACCACTACTAGGCGCAGAACGCTCGACAAAGACTTCGATGTGTATCTCAAATGGAAACGTGTATTCATGTATTTGCGCGTATACAATGCATCACAGGCGAGGTCCTCCAACATTTGCCCGCGACTGGGAGCCCAACGCTTAGCGGAAGAGGCGCAGAAGTCATTCTAACGAGAGGGCCGGTCCGATCGTGTAACGTGGTTACACGCACAAGTGGCTACAGTCACTTGTTACTCTAACAGATGCGATGTCTGTTAGAGGTTTGAACATTTCCTCGACCTTGGTGTAAGGTACACCAATGGCTACATACATTTACGACCACCACGACGGGTGGTCCATACACATTTAGAATTCCTATCGGCTGAAAGCAGCAACTTTTAGCCAATGAGTGACTTACATGTCAGCAGAATCCTGCAAACCAGCCGTTGGCAGATTCCTAGTTTAGAATATTACATTTAGAGGAAGTCAGAAACATAAAACAAAAATAACAGTTCTCATCTTTTACCAAAACCCGCTACTTGGAGTCTTTATCTTGTTTAAAGCATACTCGTGGATCTCGAGTATACTTAACTCAAGCAAAAGAAACCTACGCTTCCTCATACACGTGCGGATACGTGTAAGCCGTAGTAGTGAGTCAAGGTAGGCCCATTACACCTGGTAGCACTTAGTAGTCCGTCCAACGACCGACTACCTGAACGTTCGTACGGAGCTGTACGAACGAGGAGCCGAGAACCTTTTCATGAGCGCGGAGGTGACCATGGAAAGCTCCACTTCGCCTGCAACTCATGTTGCACGCGCTGACTGCCTCCACCTGTCGGATCCAGAGTGGGAGGCACTCCAAAGACTGCCAACAGTCATTGGAGAAGCGGCTGTAGCTGCAATGCTACGCACACTAGCGCCGACGGAGCAACACGGTGTTGCTCTGGGATTCATCATGAAGGAGCAGCGTGATGCTGCTTCCTCTATCACGGTGGCGTCGGGGACGACACCGCACGAGCAATCGTTGAAGCTAAACGTGAGCAACTATGTCGGAAGAGGGGGCGAATCTCTCATCCGGTGGCTTGTCGAACTCGACATTGCCATTGCGGCTCGACGTATCGTCGACCCGTTGTCCAAGGTTACATTCGCCATGTCATGTCTTGGCGACGAGCGAGAAGTTGGGCGTATGGACGCCGACTCTCTGATCCTACGTGCTTCAGCACGTACGAGGGTTTCATGGAGGAGCTCAGACAAGAATTTGAGCCCCAGCAAAACGAGTTCCGGTCGAGGGCAGAGTTTCTCGACCTACAGCAGGGTAAGCATGATGTCCATGCTTACGCGCAGAGAGCACGGTACTTGGTCTCGAACATTGTGACCAACCCGATAGACGAGGCGACCAAGATCGTCACGTTCATGAAGGGTCTGAGAGATGGGCCTGTAAAGACCTATCTCTTCCGTGAGTACCCAGGTACTCTCGAAGCTGCGATTACTCTTGCAATGCAGGAGGAGTTTAGTCTGAGGCAGGCTAAACTGCATGCGAATGCGCTGAGGCTGGAACCGCCTCCGGTCGCGATAGCGGGAGGTTCGGAACCAATGGACCTCTCGGATGCAACAGCTGTTGGTTATCAACAGCAACGAGGAAGTAATGTACGATGCTTCCGTTGCGGAAGGATGGGTCACAATGCCCGAGAGTGCACGGCACCCGTGCACCCAGATGGTGGTCGACGCGGCGATGCCGGGCATCGTCGCGGACAAACAAAAAACGCTGGAACCCAGTAGGCGCGGGGCGCCCTACTGGTGAAGCAGTCACGCGTGTCCAACTCGGACATGCGACACTGAGGACTGCAGCCCCCAGTGAGGACCCTTCTCACTGCAAAATGCATAAAGACAAACCGAACATTGTCATCTTGAACGGGTCTTCGAAGAGAGAGAGCAACTCTCTTCGGTTGATTCGGGCGCGTCGAACAACTTTGTTCGACTGCGAAGTCTATCAAGGCTTGACTTCGTGGAGGTAATTATACCTCGAAGTATGTTGGAAGTTCGATTGGCAACGGGTGCCATCGTTAAAACCGAGAAGCGCATAGTACGCGTATGGAGTAGCGCCCTCACAGAAATCTCGCGAATGCGATCTCGCACAAACTCGGCGCGTCTGGATAGCGGTCGCGCCGAGCAAATTATTCCCGGTTGTTGGAGTAGCGTATCTTCGAAATACAGGCCCAAGTCTTCCCAGGCTTCGGAGTTAGGGGTTCTTGTGTTGACGCTTGTTCCTTGTCGTAGGGCGTCGAGCCTTGGGCGTGCGGCGTTATCGGGCCGGCGTTTCCTCGGCGTTCCCGTCGGGCGTTATCGGGCGTACACGGGGGTCTTGTGCACGGCGGTTATCAGGCCAGTGCGGTCCTTCGCCTAGGCAGCGCGTTATCGGGCGCCCATCTAAACGGTATACGTTGAACGTGCCTTTGTTCCAGCACGGGTCTGTGGGGGGGGGGGGGGGGTGAGCACCCGAACCAGCAAACGACGGGGGGCCGCGATATCGAGGCGGCTCTACTTGCCGGTGCTTGGTGGTTCCCCTGGAACCTCGGAGAAGACGGGAGGTCTTTGTGGTTCAGAGAAATTTCGGGACTGAGTCCTTACCCTATCCTATGTCCTTGCTACTGGCTACTCTGTACTACCGCTTGCTAAGCCTACCGTTCTGTGCCTATCCTAAATTCTGTCGTGCTTGCACTACCGTGCTTCAACCTGATTTACGTGGCGCAATCAAGATCTTTCCTCAGCGTGTTTTGGTCGGCGGGGGTTAGGGCGCGTTTTGCTCGGCGCGTTTTGCTCGGCGGGGTTTAGGGTCGGCGCGTTTTGCAGAACCGGGCGCGCTGGTCGACCCGTCGGATGATTACGCGACGCACTGGATTCTGGCACCGTGTCTCACGGCCCATCACCCACGCCGACTTTCCCGTCGATCTCGGCCCTGCGTCGCGCCCATCCATCCGCGTCGTGTTCCATCAGCCGCGTCGAGGTCCATCACTCTCGTCCCGGCGCCTTCTTCCTCCGGCGCCCGGTGCGCCCACTTCTTCTGCGGGGTACTACACCACATTCGTCCCGCTGCCACGCACGCGCACTCCCCAGGTGGGTGTGTCGTCGCAGCACCTGCCCCGCGCCTTCGCTTCGTCTCGACACCATCGCGTCTTCTGCCCTCGCAGTCTGCTTCGCGGTACTCCAAGCTTCATGGCTCGCCGCCACGACGTCGACGCCAACGACATCGACCTCGAGGAGGAAGAGCTCGATACCGACGACCTCGAGGCCGCTGGCTGCGCGGTTTGCGCCCTCGGCGCGCATCGTCTTCACCTTCCCGTCGCGCCCCAAGTCCAGCTTCCGGCTTCAGGCGCCCCCGTCCACTCGGTGACTGCTCTTGTCACCGACGCGCGCACTCTCCAGCTCGAGAACCAGGAGCTGCGCGCCCAGTACGAACTCGTCTCAGCGCACAATGCGGGCTTGGCTACTCACGCGTCCGTGCTGCA